CACGGTTCGCACGTTTCCTCATGGTGAAATCACGAGTTGGTTGTTGATTCACCTGCGGGCGTGCAAGTTATCTTGCAGCCGACTGACTTGCATTTTGCCGTGCAGGCACGCCAGTTGAATAGCTTCATGCGCCTGAGTTGTTGTCGGTACCCGCATTGAACCCCAACGACAGTTGGCAGGTCTGTGTCGTTGCTTAGGGATGCCTGTCTTGTCTGATGTGGACTAGCTGGCAGGCAGACGGCGTGAGGATACCTTCGTTAGCTTTGTCAAGCATCGCATCAAAGATATGACGCTCTGTGCTGTTGCCATTGTTGACCAGTTCCGACTGCAATCAGGTTTTTCGGACTGCCCTTGTCAGCTTGTTCTGGCATATCTTTGTGACAGGCCGCAGCCAACATACTGGAAGATTTTGACAATCAAAAAATGGTCTGTGCTTCGTAGCCCCTGCCTGCAATGCCGTTCCTGTTGAAAGAGCGGCAGGGTGTGCGAATGCGTCGCCACGTGTTCAGCACTGTTTACCTTCCGGCTGACCTTGGAATGGAGGCTAAGATGTTGGCCCCTTGCACAGACTTGCGGAGTTGTAGGTGGATGGTTCATTGGGTTATCGCGAATTCCCAGCAAGCACCGCTCCAGTATCAAATACCGTGCATGTGCGCTGCGTAAAGGGGCCTCGCTCCATGCACCTCCATGTCGGAGAGTCTCTGGGCATCTAAGGTTCAGGGATCAGTTCAATGTAGCAAGGAATCTGCAAGTGCCGAAATCTGCAGAACCCTTGTCATGTGTTGTGTTCCAGCAGCAACCAGGCAATGGTAAGAGTGGCAGGAGGCTGATGAAGCCTAAACGACATCTTCGCAGACTTGACAGAGTCATCCCCATTCGAAGATGCAGTTCTGGCCTTCTCAACAAGGCTTCCGGGCTTGTCGTTCTTGTGGGACCGTCGCCTCCAAAAGCCACCGGGCACACTTTATTTTTGGCCAAGCATTAGGCTTAGGCAGGGGATGTCGAACCCTTGATCCTTGAAGCCTATCGCAGTGTAAAGCTTTAACTCCAAGATCGTAGACCCGAGTCAGACAGTCTTCCCGCACACTGTCGCACACTATCGCCCGACGTGTTGCAATCACCCCAAGCTAATTAATTTCTTTCAGACTCTGAGCCTTGAAAACAACTCAGCAGGCTGCTGCACCTTTCGAGTCCTGCCGGTTCCGTCTTCCGGCCGTGGAAGTTCAGCTGAACTGAAGTTGCAACAAGGCCCGAAACAGCACTGGACTGGATGCAATACGAAACTCATGCACTGCAGACCGTACGCGATGTAACCAAATCCCAGACATAGCACCTCAAGCGCGACGTCTACATTGTCTACATGCTTCCGAGCATTGAGAGCTTTGCCGGATGTAAACGAATGTCCATCTCAGGGAGCCTTGACCTAGTGGGCCCGGGCCCTTGCTTGGGCTATGTGACGCTCTTGAGCTTCGTGGGTTGAAAGTCGAGTGAACATGGGAAAAGGCCTGGGGCCCTGGGGCCGGTGCTTCTCAAAGCCGATGAAGTGCACAGGGTCTCTGTCCTTTCTGCGTTGCCGCTCTGGGCCAGCTGTTTGAGCCGCCAAGGCGCTGATATAAAGCGGACTTCGAGAATGTCGGGAAGATGTAGCTTCAACCCCCAGGCCCAGGCTTCAAATTTGGCTTTCGAGCCTGAACGGCCAAACGGGAACCCCCTGCATCCAGTGCTGGCAATGCTGTCAATCGCAAAGCTTTAAAGCTTTTGAGTGAGCAGCTGAGTCCTTGCTTCCTGAGGGCTGCTTGATGTCCAAAGAGCAGCCTGGGAATTTCATGCAGGTCCAGATCACACCGAAGTCTGAGCTGCCTTTGCCTTTCCTCGGACATTACCTTTTCCTCTTTGCGGCGCTTTGCCTCGGCAGATGGTGAGACCTTGCAAGAGACTTGATGTGCCTGCAGTGTGAGAGGGTTTAGGGTGTGTCTCTTCAACACTGCGGTCTGGGCACCTCGGCCACCGGCGGTAAGATTTTGCGTCAGAGACTTGTGGAAGCCTTCATGGCCTGGAGCTGCAGCTGCAGGCTTGAAGGCAGACCTGGACGTCGGTGTGCTGTGCCACAGCCCATCCTTCAACAGTTCCGGCGCTGCCCTTCGTTTGTTTTCTCGAAAGTCAGCTGTCAGCTTGTGCAGGCGTTCATGGTTATTTCGTGGCGGGGGTGGGGTATCGTGCTGCACAGCTGTTTCTGTGACTTCGCACAGCTCGGCAAAGCTTTGGACTGGGACAGCCTCAGCCAAACCGGAAGCTGCTGGCACGCCTGGCTCCTCCAGTCCAGGTAGTGTTCTAATTTAATCTGTTTCTGGACAGTGATGATGTGTCTCGAATGACTAGTCCATCCAATCCGAGAGCAAGCCGGCAGGGCAGCCGCTCCACTTCGTTCAAGCATGACACCCAAGCAACGTCTCGATTGCAGGTTCGCCAAGACATTGCGTCGTGTGTCAGCAAAAGTGGAAGACCTTCCCAAGCTTGACCGTCTGTGTAATTGCAGTGTCCTTGGAGTCTTCGCGTTCTTGTGCCGAGGACACGGCTCTGGCCGTCTGGCGGAGGAGCTTTGGATTTAGGGCCTTTAGACTTTAGGCTGTAGGGTCTCAGGTTGAGCCCAGGGCTTAGGAAGCTCCGTGTCGGCTCGGCTATGATATGAGTGGGAAAGCACCGCAGCCCAGTACGGAACGGACAGGGTTCAGCTCCGCGTAGTGGGCGGTGCTTCCGATTCTGTCCACGTCAGAGACGTGTTAAAGCTTGAGGCCATGCACCACTCCCTTGTATTAGGTGCCGTATTATAACAAGGACCCAAAAATAGGGACCATAATTTTGACAACCACCCATGTGAGGGTTTGTGATAATGTTCATCACGTGCGGTTTCTTGTGACGGATGGTGGGATGTGGCCCTAAGAACGTGCTTTGGAGCGTTGAACACAAAGTGTGGTCTGGTGGACAGTGGTCGCCTACTGCGTGTGCTGAGTCCGACACCGCCCACATGAATCATCGAATGCAGAAGTCCCGTGTGCCAGACGCATGTCATGGCCTCATAACGTGCTCCCTGTGTTCCTGCAGCTTGTGCACAGTGGGCGACCAGCGATGCATCCCTTTCTGTTTCTGGGACATGTTGAGCTGGCATTCGACTGCGGGACGAGCCCTTCGCTTTTACATGTGGCAGATCTTGGCAGAGGCTGCTGCTCCATAAAGCCCCAAAGTTCCCAAGCAAGGTCGTGCAGTTGGCTCTGCCGCTCTTGTGTAAGTGAGCACAGCACAGGCGGCCACCCTTGACAGCAAGGCACCGTCCAGACAGCTTTAAAGGTTTCTGCACTGGTACTCCCAGCGTTCCAAGCTGGGAGGTTCAGATCTCATTGTGACGTTGCTGGCTGCGAAGGTGCGCTTTTCCCCCTTCTTGCAGGAGACACTTTGGACACGTCCTGTGCAATGCTCGAAACCTCAGCATCGGAGTCAGGTCCCACATGCTAAGACCAAGAACGTGCCCAGAGTCTTCCATTTTCACCTGCCTGGTCAGTATGCAGGCAAGGCGTCGTCAGTTCTGAGCAGACGATGCCCCGCATAGAGTGGACTGCTTGACCACACACCGCCTTGGCAGATCCGCCGCATTTTCGCGTACTGGTGCCTCTGATGGGCGCCTGGTCCAGTCAGCCCAGTCACTGGCATGGTTGGGTACCCGTCGCCGCACTTTGTATGCTTGAGACCAGCTGGGTTCATTGCGACTTTTTTGCGAAAAGCTACCTCCACGCTCAGACGCGCCACTGCTCAGTAAACCTCTCTGCCATGTCTCACGGTTTTTGGGTGCTGGGCCTGTTGGTCAGGAGCCTCTGTCTGGAGCTTCGCAAAGGCTAAGGATTGCGTTGAAAGTGTGCTCGAAGAGCTTCGTGCTATCTGTAGTACGAAGGAGTATTTGGGACTTTGGTTTGTCGACATGAACAGCCTATACAGCCGGGGCGTCTCTGCCTGCTGCTGTTTTCCCGAGCGGTTGCTCGCAAGTTGCCGCCATGGAGTGTGCTGAGCGTCGATGCAAGCCTGTCTTAGTCTGCTGCCCACGCATCGAGGCTACAGGTTGCAGGATTATCAAGTTTGCTGGACATCAAGCTGCCAAGATTTCTCACTAAGTTTCCGGAACTGGTCCGATGGAAGAACAGTGTGCATGAGCGCAGTTGCACATGTCTCTTGCAAAGCATAATTGTACATGTCGCCGTGAACTTTTGAGTTCTGGACGCTGGGATCTGCATCTGAACGGCCATGTTCGACCAAATCAAGTTCGGGCGGAGAAGAAGCTGCAGTGAAAAATTGTCTGAGGACTGGAGTAGCATGGCAAACACGCATTTCGCATGACATACCTATTGAGCTTGGGCTACTGTTTGTATCGGGGCCTTTCAATCTTTCGTCGAACTGTTCGAGTGAAGCGAAGGACATCGTGGTGGTTTCGATTTTGAGCAGATGATGTAGGAGATGATCCTGTGGGACATGTCGTGGAAAGTCTCGAAGGCCAGAGCCAGCAGTTTTACATGTCCTTTAGCACAGGACGCTTGATGTTGGTAGAACGATCGGCGTCGTGTGGCATCTAACCAGGAGTTCCTATGAGATGGTTCAAGCGCAACCTAGGGACCTAAGCTCAGCCGAGCCATGATGAGAATCACACTACGATTGGATTCTCGCCATATATGCACCCCAACTAGTGCCGAGAGTAGGCCATGGCACCCAGCCGGCAGGTTCGTTTGATGCCATCTACGCTGCCTTAGTTCTTGTCCTGCCTCCTTCATTCCTGCCTGCACTCTTTTCAGCAGATATGAGCTTCTTCATGTTTTGGAATCGAACAACATTCAATGAATCAGCAGTACAGGCTTTCGTATCCTCAGCACGAACCACGACATGGTCAGTATTCCATTTCAACCGTTCGAGTATCCTCCCATGTCAGCGCACGAAGAAAGCCATGCGTTTGCCGCCATGCAATGTTAGCATGGTGTGCAGCATTCAGGGCAACTGGACTTAGCAAACTGCCATTGGTTTTTCATGGTTGCCATGTTCTGCTGCCTTGGAATGAATGCCCATGTTTCTTTGAGGCGAAACTTCACGAAGTGGACGGTTTACAAGTGCGAGAAGTTGCAAGAGTGGGCGAGGGAGGGTTTTCTTGTATATGGTGACTCGGCTGGCTTCGTACATGTTTGCGCATGCGAGGACAAACATGTGCTTCGATTGTCTTCTTGTGCTGGTGGTCGTCATCCGTGTCTTAATACTGCTTGCTGTTGCCATTGGTGTCTGCACCGTGCATATTGTAACCTTCAGGCGAGTCGACTTGATATCAGATCGTGGGCCGGCTGATGAGAATCTCCCACGGACCATGGCCCTGAAGAAGACAATTTGTCAGGAGCGGCTGTAACTTCACCAAAGAAGCAACGATTATTGATTCGGTGGCAACCTGTAAGGACGAAGAACGTCTCGAATTCGCCCGCAGTGAAGTCGCAGTGCTGCGACGTGCGACCCAGGAGGCACGTTGATTGTTCGGGCAGTATGCCATCGCAAATGGAAACAATTGGCCTTTCAACTAGAGTTGGTTTTCGACAGCTAGTTTAAGATGGTCGATGGTGCTTGGATTCCCGCAGCCAGGTTGTTACATGATGACAACCGGAACTTGTACCAGCACAACCAGCAAGCGATGCACCTGACCCCTCTGGTATACAGTCTGCTAAATATCCCATGCTGCAGTGGAAGCAAGTGAGACACGCGCTCTGAAGGCTTAAAGGAGTGAATGTCTTGGTGGGCCCCAGCGGTCAGCTTCGGAACCCATTTGCTGCAGGGTTTATCCCCTGCTTTCTGTCACCACTGCCCGTGGGGCCTCGTGGTGCTTGGACTTCTGCTTTCCTGCTGCGCTGCGGTCCTCTTAGGCGCTTGTGGGGCTAGCTTGATCCTTTCGCCATTGCTTCGCCGAGCCGCGGCCGCTGCTCTGCGCATTCTGGTGGCAGGTCGTGGACGAACTAGTCTTGCGGCTGGGGGAGCTTACCATCACGGTCAGTCGGAACGCGAGGGGATCTGAGGACAGAGAGGTCCGGGCACCTAGTGCATCCGCGCCTCTTGAACTTCAGGGACCTACCGAGGACGAGATTCTTGCTGCGGGGACCGCTGCTGAACTAGCCCGCCTTCACCTTCCTGCGCTTCGCCCGTTAGCTGATCAGCTGAGGGGTGCGACCGGGGAGTGGTCTCCACAAGCTCGGGTGGCCCGAGCTTACCGGGCCGGGGTTTCGGCTGCCATTATCCTTCGAGGGGAAGTGGGACGAGCCGTTCGATCTCCACCAGTGCCTTATCGGAATTCCATGTACGTGGTGTTGCAGTGCGCCCTCTACGAGGACGGCTTCTGGACAACGAGTTTTGCAACGTTTAGGCCCTACACCCAGGACGCCCAGGACTCATTCAATCAGGATTCAGTGTGCCACGCCTTTGCCAGCCGCGCCGAAGCCAACTCTTATCTCCTCGGAGCTGAGAGGGAATGGCCTCGACACCTGTGAGGCGACCATGCACCAAAGCGGAAGTAGAAGGGTTGGCTTCTGCTTTGGGACCTTTACGACCCTTACCTCCTTTGCACTTCATGCTCGAAGCTGCCGAGGGGGTGAACAGGATTGCTCAGGGTTATCTGGTCCGTATGCGACCCGGAGGTTTCCTTGTGGCTCTGCCCAATGCGGACTCAGTGCTCTTGGGCCTTCGTGCCTTGCTCAGCGACGAAGGGGAGGGCTTGGTCCTGGATCACATCGCCGAGGTGGAGCTGGAAACCAGCCGAGGGCGTCTGCTGGGCAATTGCGAGGCCTTGCTGGTAGACGTACCATGGGAAGCAGTGGGGTCTTTTACAAAGGCCCACCCACTCCGAAGGGCCATGTCTTTGGAGATCAGATTGATTCCTTTCGAGGCCGCTGGTTCTACAGGGCGTCCTCGGACTGCCAGCGCCTTGGCTGCGGCCGAGGCTTGGATCTTGGGGGCCATGGAGGCCGAGACCGCTGCGGAGTACACCACCGCCGAGGAGCCGCTCGAGGAGGCGGAGGAGCCGGTGGACGTGGACGGCACCCCCGCAACAGACCGGGATCTAGTGGCTGCACTTATGGATCGACTGCAACGACTGGAATCCAGAATGACGCCTCAGGCGCCGGTTGCTGCCGCCCCAGCACTTACGACGAGCGGGTCGGCTTTGCTTCGGCCCTCGGCCGGTGGATTGGACCCTTCAGCTCTGGAACGCCTTCAAGCTCTGGCAGGCCCCGCTCCTCGACGGGGGCCCGGAGGGTCTACAGCCAAAGCGCCCCCGCCTTCTCGCAATCTTCGGTTGGGGGACACTCTGCATCGAGAGGCCGAGCTGGAGGCGCTAGCTGCCCCCGAGCAGGAAGACCCCTTTGTGGACGTAAAGGCCCAAGATCCTCTGCATCAGATTCTGACAGCCCAACTGGCACAAAACCAGCTGCTGCTGGAGAGGCTCGCGCCGACGAAGCCGTTGGATGCAGTGGCTGCCGCTCTTCACGGAGGAGGCTCGGGCAGCGCATCCGACAGCAGCGGCGGCATCAAAGGCTGCCTAGCGAGGGACGCGTTCCTCAAGCAGATCGAGGACCTTCCGAGGGTCGCCGAGGTAGTCCGACAAAATGCGCTGAAGGAGCTGGGCATCGAAGCGAGTCGCGAGGAACCCAACCTGCTCAAGCAGTACATGGAGAGAAGGCTGCCTTTGGCGGGCCATCGTCTCTTGAGTTACGTGGCTGCTTTCGCGGGGGAGGGCTGGGAGACGGGAGCTCGCTCCCAGAATCCGGAGTTACAGGGATACGCTGCCAGATTGATGATCTTCTGCGAGCAGGCCGCCTTGGACTCCGGCCGTCTTCAGCTAGCTTGGCTTCTAGCCGGGTATGCCGAGCCGAGTACGAGCTCAACGGCTCGCCGATCGACGCTGAAGCCTTTTTCGGCCTTGGGCCATCCTTCGTGGATAGCAGGGAACGTAGCATTCCTACGCGACTTAGATTACATCGAGACTCGCATGACAGCCCTGAGCAAGCCGCGAGGGGCCGACAAGACCGAGAAGGACGACAACGCCGACGAGAGCGCCGCCCCCGGAGGATGGAAGAGGCCGCCCCAAAGCCAAGGCCACTCCTGCAAGCCCGGGGTGAGAGAGCATGTAGGTAGCAAGTTAGGGCCCAAGGTTCCGCGTGAGCGTCCCGCAAGTGGTGCTCGCTCTGATCCTTTGGCTCCGCTCGAGCTTCCTGCCTCGACCGACGGCAACATGCTCGATCCCCTGGAATTAATTTTTGGTGCCCTTAACCTCTGTTGTTCGGGGTTTTCTGGTTTGAGTAATTTTGTTCGTGCTTCCCTTAGGGAACCCGCCTGCACTGTGCAAGCTGCTGCACTCAGTAGCTCTTTATGGCCGATCCCGCGTCCTAGGTGCTGTATGTCGAGTCAGGGACGTAGCCGCAAAGCTAGGCGCCGGCGCCGCTACTTTAAGTGCCGCGCCCGTCTGTTGCAAGTGGTGGTGTGCTGTTTGAACTGGGAAACCCTAGGTCATCACTGTACCCCGCCGCCCTCCTGTTGCATCGGAGCTCCGATTAGTGCAAACCAGCATCAAGTCCTGGACCATCTCGAGAGCTTAGTCGATCGCCACTTGAGTTGCGGCTCTTTTGCAGCAGAGGCGCTTGGCCGGTGCGCTCCGAAGTTTCTTGCATTGCTGAGGGTAGCAAGGGAACTGCCTCGGAACGAGGATGTGGACCCCATCCTTAGGGAATTAGGTGCCTGTATTAGATCGGGTTTGGATTATGGAGGGGCCGGGGCTCCGACCCACGACAGATCCTCTGCACTTTCCTGCACCACGAATCCGATCTCTGAGGAGAGTTGCTTTGACTCAGGGATAGAGCTGGGACTTCCAGATGCGGCTCAGGATCCGCCACGCAATGGCTCAGCAGATCACGCCAGGCCTCTCTACAGTGATAGCCCTAGCTTGCTTTTGCAGCCCGAGCGCACTGGTGCCCAGCCGACACAACCTAGTGCCCGTGCGAGTCTCGCGTCGAGACCCGCATCTTTTGATCCTTGTTCTGCCCAGGTTTCCTCGTCTGCTGCATTGGGGAATACTGCTCCGCTCAGCACGTTGGAAACTTTAAGGATCCGTGCCTCTAGGATAAAGTGGAAGCATCGTCCTGAGTTCAACCCGCTCCCCTTCATCAGCAATCGCGCCCTACGCGCAGCTTACGTGGAGCCCGAACTGTTGCGTCGGCCGGAGGCTGACTGGGTCGTGGAGCGACCCGCGATGATACACGCTGATAGGTCCGAACTGTTGGCGTTGGCACGCATCTGGGATGAATACGGAACCCTAAAAATCTTCGGTGCTTCTGAGCTGGAGGGTCTGGACCCCTCCGAAGAAGTAGGGTTGTTTGCGATTCAGAAAAACAACGAGTGGGATAGATTGATCCTTAATCCCACTGTGATTAACACCCGCATGTACTCGATTAGTGAAGCTTCCAAGCGCCTCAGCCCCGGATGGTTACTTAGTGGGTTGCATCTCGAGCCTGAGCAGGTCCTTAGGTTCCATGCAGCCGACTTGTCCGACTTCTATCATTCGTTCGCTGTGGGGCCTCGGCGGGCACTTCGCAATCGTTTCCGAGCTCGCTTCAGTGCTGCCGAGTTGTCGTCTTTTCCTTCATACACCCCAGAACTGCGAGAGCCCCTGGCGATGGGTTTAAACACCCTCGCCATGGGGGATTCATTGGCGGTAGAGGTTGCTCAGGCCTCTCATGAGGGGCTGCTACAACAACTCTGCGGAAGCATGCTTGAACATGAAGTCCTTAAGTACCGCTCCCCTATCCCTCGATCGAAACACATTGAAGCTTTAGCGATTGACGATCACATCAAGTTCCAGAAACTCCCGAAGGATTCCCTCAAGCACTCACCCGAAGCTCGCGACTCTCAAATCTTCGGTTTGGCTTCTGCTGCTTATGGCGAGGTAGGGTTGCATCAAAACCATGATAAGGATAAGGTCGCCTGCACTTCAGGTGTAGTCCTTGGTGCCGAGATTGACGGGGTGCTGGGGGTTGTTTCGGCTCCTCGCGACAGGGTTCATTGCCTTAGCTTTCTTTCTGCCCTTGTAGCTAACCGGGGAACTGCCTCTAGGAAGCTTTTGGAGTCCTTGATCGGGAGCTGGACCCACGTGCTTCTTTTCCGTCGGCCGCTCTTTTGCATCATGGGGTCCTTGTACCATGAGGGAAAAGGGCTTCCTAAGACTAAGGTGTTTAAGCTAAGCCCCCAATCCAAGAATGAGCTCTTCCTGCTCTCGTTTCTGGGTTGCCTTAGCCAGGCTAGTCTACGCGCCCCTTATCATCCCGAACTCTTTTGCCTAGACGCAAGCCCTTCGGGGGAGCCGTGTGTTCCACGGAGATTGGGGCTTTTGCCGCTTCCGAGCTTTGGCGCCGTTCCGAGCAGCGAGGTTACTACACGAAGTTGGCCGCGCCGGCTTCGGCCGTTTTGCTCGAGCACGGCCTGGAAC